TTAAATATTTTAGAAAATACTTTCAGAAGTATAAAAAGTGACTCACAAATCATTCAGAAACAGGTAAAACTGAGTAACAGTGGCTTAATTTCCATATTTTTTTCATTCTTAAGAAGCTTGGTTTAGTCAAGTCTCATTGATTAGTATTTGGAAAGTATTTTGAAAATATAAAACAATATATAAATATTACATAACAACAGCATTATTGATGGAAAAAATAATTTGTTAATTTTCATGTAATTTAATGAATTTGTATTTATTTCTTTTTCCTATGTAAGCAAGTACTTTTAGGACAGAAAATAGTCCTAGCTGATAGAGGACAATATTATTAATCACCACGCACTTCACGTGACGCAGCTCAAAAAATTAACTTAGCATTATTTGCAAAGTTGTATTTACAGGGACACACGCACACAGACTGCTTCCTTTCATTCTCAAATCCAAATTCCATCTGAATATGAATTGGAAACAGGGCCAGCGATGTAGCAAGCACTTTGCACTTGGGAATGATTCTGAACTGATGCTCTCATCACCTGCTGAGAGGAGTCCACGCTTGGGCTAGCCAAAAACTGGGAACTATTTTGCAGAGAGAGGGGAGATATGGAAGATATCGTCCTCTTAGGTCCTTTCACATCTCAAAATATTCTTTGAATAAAACTGAATGCTTTTGCTTTTTCCCATAGCGCCTGGGCTGTAGAGCACACAGATTATATCGCTTCATTTCCACACTCTTCTCAGCAGCTGGGAATGATGGAAATGATGGGATAGCTTAACTGGAGCATTTCCCACTACGTTTCTCTATAAAAGGGGCTCTAGGACTGAAGCCTCTCAGCAGGCAGCTGATTTTCAGGCACAGCCACAAGAGCAGCTCCACAAACAGCCGATCCATCGGCGCCGCACTCGGGTTATTGCAGCCCTCATCCAAACCAGCTCCCGAGAGGCGTGCGGGTCACGGGCACTTGGGATCACCCATTCCCATGCTCTTCTCCTCGCCGTGCCAGCCTGGAATGCTCTGTGTTCGTGTCGCAGCCTTGCTGGGCACCGACCCCTGAGCGCACTGTGTGCACGGACCAGCGGGAAGGGGAGCTCCAATTTTCCAAAAGCAGATCCTGACTGACCGGACCGAGCTGTCTCCATGCAAACGGAGCTCCCTTGGAAATACATCCCTCTGTTCAACTGTATGTTTCGGTGAGAAGGAATTTAAGGATTTGAGAAGAACTGCACCAGCTGATGCAGAAAGCGCACTCTTTTCCAGGATGAAATTTTGCTTGGTTTTCTCACCTTAGACTTTTTTTATTTAAATATTTATTTTGAGCAATTCCCAATATTCCAAGATTATACCTCTCTTCTTCCAAACCTCCTCCCCACCTCCAAAAAAACAAACCAAAAAAAAAAAACAAACCAACCCAGCATTTTTACACTTATCAATTAAAAAGAATGAAGTCAAGAACAGCTGGTTTTGTCACACTAAGTATTTCTAATCTAATTGTGCATGCTAGATAGACATTTCATTGTTTAAACTAATAAAAGACGCATTTTAAAACAAATGACTCCAACATACACTTTCAAACTTCTTCATGATGGAGATAAACATGGAAATCCATCTAGATATCCAAAGGATACCTGAAAGAAAGGTCTGAGATTGCAGGGTTTGACTGGGCTGCATTCAGCTCCTTTTAGTAACATGAGTGAAAAAAAAAGAAAACCAGCATCACAAAATCACACAGACTCACAGGAGGGTTGAGGTTGGAAGGGACCTCCAGAGATCATTTAGACCAGCCCCCTGCTCCAGAGGGGACACCCAGAGCACGGGCCACTCTCTGCAAGCAGTAATGTTTTTCCTGACCTTCTCATTAATCAATATGCATCCCCAAACTTAAGCTTTTATTTCTGCTGCGGATTATATCACGCTTTTCTCAGAATTTCAAACAACATTGCTCTTTAAAGTGTGCAGACCAAGCTGCCAAGCAATGCCCTTTCTCCTAGTGTGCAATTTGCATCGCACTCCCGAGATAATCTGGTCCTTTTGATAAATTTAACCAGTTTCCAGGCACTTCCCAATGCCCCTACCGAGGCTTTAAAAGTTCTGCTCCTTTTTCGTGTTGTATATAGGCAACACACAGGTTATGGGGATGTTCCTTCCCCGAGGGCATGTCAGAGCCCAGTGACTGGTGGTGGCCTGGCCCACATTTCACCTGCAGACCCTGTTCCCCCGTGTGTCTCACAGCGGCGCTCACGATCGCGCTGCTCACTCGGGACCTCAGGACTCGCCAGCACAAAGCTGCTCCACCAGTTCGTTACAGCAGGATTGGCTGCTAATGCAGAGAGAGTTTGTGTTGCATAATGTGCAGAAACCAGCTGGCATTGCTTAAAAACACTCACAGAGAAGCAAAAAAGGAAAAAAACTCAAAATGCCTTTCAAGCTTGCTACAAGATGTAAACGTTAAGAACATCAGATTTGATATTAAGTGCTTCATAAACCCACTGAGGCAAGAAATCAGCTCTTTCCATCAGACTGTTTTTCAAACGTTACCATGCAGCCTACCACCCCTTCCGTATGTACGAGGGAAAACACCAAGCTAGGAATGAGAAAAATGTCCCCATCGCTATCTCAAGAATAACTGCAACACAGTGGTCGAATAAATCATATGGGGGCTCTTGCTGTTTGCCACTGTTTGTTTACAGGAGTAGCATGGGAAACCTAAGGATGAACTCGTGATCAAATGCAGGGGGGGAAAAAGAAAGAGCAGATATTCCTTATGGATTCCAGATAAACTATATGGGGGAGGACGTCTGCATATTAAAAGAACCAAGGTATCTATCAAAAGAGATGTGCACATTTAAATTCGACTTAAATCTCTTAAGAAAGGTCACAAATGCTTTGCAGGATTGTACACTGAATTTCTCTTCCAATGAGCTATTTCAGAGTCCACCTCAATCCTCTTCCTGGGAGGAAATCTCTCCCATTCAGCTGCACGTGATGCTGTGATACGAGAACACCACACCAGGATGCTTCATTCAGCTGTGCCTGTCATTAGCACTGACCAAACAGAAGACTTTGGTAATCCCATCAAAACACTCACTCCTATATATCAAGGACCCAATTTTGCACTTATGCTTCAAAACATTCCAAAAAGAGAAAAAAATGTCTAAAAGAAGCAATGCTCCTTCCTCTGCAGTTGGTTTAGTATGATGAAGTGCCTGAGATTAGGTTAATTCCAGGTCAAATTAGATTCAGATTTTGTCCAAGGATGTTTAGAGACATTTTAAGCAAAGCCTGAACCCAACATTCACAGCAAGCTTTGGTGCAGGATGTGCCTTTCTTGCACACTCTGCACGGCCCAAACTCCACGCTGACCTTTGAAGCAGGCAGGGCTATCTGCAAGTCACGTCAGGCACCACTTTCTGCTGCTCATTTTGTTTTGAGTTTTGTTTCATCACCTCTGGCCACGCCGACTGCTTACACACTGCAGAAAGAGCATCATAAAAAAATACTCTATAGACTTTTCCCATGTAATTTCTCCTTTGTCACTGAGTGTATTACTATCATTGGGCAGTCTATAAGTGTAGGCTTTGGCAGTGGGAACTGAAAATAAGTCTCGCCGAGGCCTTGTTTATCTTTACAAGCATCTTTGTTGTTATCCTAGCAAGAGGTGGTGGTGATTGTGCACAGGAAAATGCCACTTTTTGTTGGTTGCGTGGTAGAATAGAAAGATAACAAAGGAAAATATAATTTTCAAGGGAAAGCAAACCAGTTGGCCATGGGGGTTCTCAGGGAAGAGGTGTAAGATCCAGGCACTCAAATCTTGTATTTAGTTTTTTTTTTTTTTAAAAAAAAAGAAGGGGAGTCAGGAGAAAAACAAATAACCCTTAAATTTGCCCAGTTTAAATTCACACAAGTACAGCAGTTACTCTAGTTGTATAGCAGGATATACCCAGTGAAATCACAGGATTTTTGTCAGCCTAAACATTTAGTACCAAAAGGTCCATAAGGCCAAAGTCTCCCCCTAAGAAAAGCTGCTTTTGAGTTTTGCAAGTAGATATTTGTTTTTTTTTTATTTTTCATGTCACTCAAATCTTGTATTTAGTTTTTTTTAAAAAAAAACAAGAAGGGGAGTCAGGAGAAAAACCATTAACCCTTAAATGCGCCCAGTTAAAATTCACACAGATACAGCAGTTACTCTAGTTGTATAACAGGATATACCCAGTGAAATCACAGGATTTTTGTCAGCCTAAACATTTAGTACCAAAAGGTCCATAAGGCCCAAAGGTAGGCCAAAGTCTCCCCCTAAGAAAAGCTGCTTTTGAGTTTTGCAAGTAGATATTTGTTTTTTTTTTATTTTTCATGTAAACCATCAGCTTCAAGCTTTCTGCACAAGGAAACATTCAAAATGTTTCTAGAAATCAGGCCTACATCTAAGCCCGCAGAAAAGTATTTTATCCCTTCTCTATAACTCCAAATGAACCAAATATTAAATTGACACTTTGCAGCTCGCTAAGCTCTGATAGGCAAGTGCACGCAGGCACTTTGGGGAAAAAAAAAAACAAAACTAAGCAGAAAACAGTCCAGTTGTTTGGTTTAGTAGTGAGGTTCCCCACACATGCACACTAATTTATTGCAGTGAAAACGTCCCGCTAATTTACTGCAGTGAAAACGTCCTGCTAATTGCACCGCTTACCCTCGGAGCACACGCACGGCAGTCGCGTTAGTACACGGGGAACCAACGGCTCCCAAGGAGCTATAACTGGGTACCAGGCCAATAATCCACAAATGGCAAAGGATTTACACAAAAGACTCAAACAGTTTCCAAGGAGTCATTATGGCATATCAGGTAAATAAAATATTATTGAAATGTATTTTCTTGTGCATTTAAATCACTTGCAGCAGGTGCATAGGAAGTAGCACATAATAAAATGGCTCGCATTTCCTTGAATACTAACGAGAAGCAAAGGAAGCATTTAGCAAAAAAAAAAAAAAAGAAAAAGAAGCAGGTTCTTACCATTGCAAGAGGGACTATTCCCACAAACATAGTTCGGCTGACGAAGATCTCGGAGACCACGAGTTCGCTCAAGGAGTCATCGCGAGGATATTCCACCTGCCAGGTGATTTGCTGGGCTCCTGTCAGGCTGCTGCTGTTGTCAATCTCAAAGTCCATCTGCAGGATCTCATAGGAGGAGATGTTTGCTCTGGAAAAAAAAAAAAAAGGCAAAACCAAAATTTCACAAAAATGAAATACCTGTAGGATGTCAGTAACAAAACGCATTTTTGTTTTCTTTCCAGTGCAAGAATTACCATTAAATTCAACATGTAGATTTCAAGATACTAACAAAAGCCTAAATGAAATTATGCATTGGGCAACGGCTCTGTTTTATAAATAAGATGACAGAACATCTTCCAGTTTCCTGAAAATGCAGGCATTAAACTCAGGCATGCATTCTATATAGTAACTTGCAGAATAAGCCCCAAACCAGGGAACACTAGTTTGCACAGATGTTGCTGAATTATTTAATATAGCATTATTATAATTTTATTCCTGCAAATATTGATGCTCAGAAACTACACAGGACTTGTCCATTCCTTATGCTGTATCAGAGAAGAGCTCATGGCGCAGAGGGAGAGGGAAGTCTTTCAAACCCAAACTTTTCTTTACCTTTGTGGGAAAAAATGCATTTGCACAAATTATACATGACAAAAAATGGGCGATAGATTATCTTCATTTTTAATTCATGAAAACATTCTTTTCGTCAGTGATGTAGACTTATAATTGTGTGGTGAGCATTACTTATTTGTCATCTGGGAATAAAAAGTTAAAGGAATGGAGGTAAATGCATAGTATTCAGAGCTGTATTTACAAATTACTTCTGCTTCTTTTGTGAGCACCAGCACCTAAACACTCTCCTATAGTCCAATACTATGTAAATATTAATAATTAATCCTGAGGTTAGAAAGACAGATATCCTTAAGTTACAGAACAGAAAAGAGACACCAGGAATTACTGAGCAGCACTCAGTGTATCCACAGCTGAGACCTATTCAGCAAGCAAACTTTTGCTCATTCAGTGCTTTTCTTCCAGGAAAAAACTCAGGTACTTCACAAAGCAGTGTGCAAATCCCTGCCCCATTTTTCAGACAGACACCTCAGCATGGGGACCTGATGCAAAACACCAAGAGGGAGCACTTGGAAAAGGCTGCTAACCCGATTGCTGACCCAATTGCTTTATCTCTTCACATGAGAAGACAACTGATGTGATCACTGCTACTCGAGTTTCAGTGCACGTGCTCACAAAATGAGTTAAAACCTGAACTTGCAGCAGGTTGGCCGCTCTATAACGACTTCAACGTGCTCTTGGTACACACACAAGTGAGCATCGAGGGTCGTGTCCCGAGCGCCCTGTGCTGCACATGCCCCTCTGCAATTTCAAGCTCTATCCCACCCCATGGCACATTATTTGCCATCCCGTACCCTAAAGAAGTGACACCAGAAGCTCTGTAAAGAACAGAGACGTAAACGTCCTTTTTCTCTTTCCAACTGCACAGAGGCAGAGTCTGGTTTTTTTGCCATATGTTTTTGAAGGCACAATTGTAAAGGAAAAAAAAAATCAGAGGAGGAATTATTGATTTTCGTGTTTTCTTTCCAACAATGAACACTACAAACATATGCTCCAATGCCTGGAGGATAAATATTTTCCATGCTGACAGAAGATTATATCCACCTTCAGGCAAAACCAGAAGCTATTAATGCATCGTTTGGGTAGCCAACCAGACAATCAGCAAAAGCTCTTTAAGACAAATTTTATTACACAATGTTAGGGCTGTAATTAGGCAATTTCTGTCAAAAAAACACTACCACTGTGGGCACCAGGGTGGAATACTCAGCTTCATCATTTTGTGCTCATCTCTTCTGGTGGCTTGTTTTATCTCATCATCAAATGGATTTGTTCACAACCCAGCAACAAAATTCAAAACACGAGCTTTACCCCAGCTGTGGATTTGGATATTAGAGCTGTCAGGGTCTGTTTGGATCTGCAGTTTATGTTCAGGCTGTTACAGTCAACAGTCACCAACACTCAGGAATAGTTTCAAACTCTGAACAAACTCTGATGGATGAGTTGGTTTTAGATTTGTCACTTAAATAATATGTCAGGTGAGTCTGCACTGATAAATCACCTGTCCCATTGACAGGCGCTTCTCTGAGCTCAGCTCATCGTACCTTCAATTACTTCCTTCCTGTGTTTCTTTTTATACACCAGAAAAATAACTGTAATAGTGGCTTTATACTCTTAAGACCTAGACTCCCTAAGAAAAGCACATACATGCATCTCATCCATACAGCAAAGCAGAGTAATCGCCAGGGAGTAAAATGACTCCTGTCCCTGAAACACGAAAGCTCCTCCCTGCATCTTTGACATGGCAAAGAAACCTTTCCTGCATAACTGTACAAGCCACATGTTTCTCCTAAAGGCAGACGTGTTTATGTACTGCTGCTTTGGAAATAATCTCTGAGGATCTAGAACGCAGCAGCAGTTCAGATGCATCAACCTTCCATGGTTGTAAGTTATATTAACAAACTAAAGCAAAGATGACTATAGCAAAGCTGACCCAAGGTGGTGGCCCTGCTTCTACAGAGAATCTTTACCATCACCTGGAAAAACAGCCTAGCTGTCAAATGTTTCCTACTTGACCTCAGAAGGAAATCATGTGCTATGAGATATTAACACTGATTAAAGAAGGACCCACTTCTTTTCATGTGGAGATTTGGGGAGAGAGCTGGGCTATCCAGGTTGCGTTTTTAGAGTTTCTCCACCGAGCGTATAGCTTTAACAAGCAGGAATCCAGCTTTCTGGAATACATTATGCACCAGCAGGGCCCCCAGGTACGTTCGGAACAGCAGGTCACTGAGTTCCCTCTAAAACCACGGTCTCCGGTCTCCCTTTTTTCCTCTTTTGGACAAAGATTCAGCCTTCGAGCAAAGCCAAGTGTCACAGTATCCGGGACACGGGATACCCCAGGGACTAACCCACTGCCTTTGTTCCAAGTCCTCACCCTGCTTATAGCTGTAACAAATCCAGGATAAAACCCAAAAAGTGAATATGAAATGCTACATGTGGAATATCCACAAGCAGATAAGACGATGACTGTAACTCATGCTGTTATCAGTCATTAAATCCCACTAAACCAAAGTTTATCCTATAAAGATTTTTAAGCTTTTTCTCGAGACTCATTCCATTCTTATCTTAAGTACGTTTGCACTATTGAGAAGAGACTGATGGAATCTAAGGCCTGCAAATCATTTCTCCTTTCCACATCTTTCTTCTCTTTTTAGTTATACATTTTTTGTTGTCCAGTAAAGTCTTTAAGCAGTTTAGAAGGACTTTGCCAAACCCTAGTTTAGAAGAGCAATAAAAAATAAAAAGTCAAAATTACTTTTATAAAAAAAGATTATTTCCTGCAAGCACAAGGAAAAGACCTTATAATTTTAGGCAGCTGGCATGCTTGCTAATAAGTCCATTTCTATGGAAATGAGTTCATAACTATTAATTTTGCCTGCTCCTGATCTATTCTTGATGAGCCTTTCAAATTTAGAAAAGCGCTTCATGATTCTCTCAATTTGGTAATTACTAACTCCCTTTGATGAATCCAGCCCAGTGTTTCAGACATGAGACAGTCATTAGACATTTTTCTTTCTGGTGAGAGGAGAAAAAGAAACCACGGCCTTAGATTTATTTCCTCTCACAAATTCCAGCAAGTCGGCCTGCCTCTTCAAATCACAATTTGCAAGCCTGCTTATGTCCTTTCCCAACACTGCCTCTCTTAGGTGCTCAAAGGACCCCCAAACCCTGAGATTTTGTGCACACCTTCATGATGTCTGGCCTTACACATATCTGATTTATTCAGAATCTATGTATACAGGTCTCCAACAGCCCATTCAAGCTTTGCAGTACACACAGTCATTATTGCATATATAGTAGTATTAGTAGTGGGCATGGCTGCAATTCTGACCTGGAACAGTTTCAGCACGTGGGTTTTGATAAACTCTTGTCAAACTTCTCTAATTCAAATATGAATGTAAAAAAAATCCAAAGTTGGATTTTGTTTCTCCACATTTATTACCTAAGTATTAACATTGAACTGCACAGGCTCTTTTCAAGACTTGTAGGTTACTGTGAATGTCCACCATAGCTCTAATGTTAGACATCTTAGCAAGTCCTAGAGAATCACCTGGAAATGCAATACTTCTGAAATAAATTAATTCTTAACCTCTATCTACACAAAACATTGAATTAGTGAATTACATACTGCAGTGATACCCAGTGATTGATGTTATGATGGCAGTGACAGTCTAAATAGTTAGCAGGGAAATAAACAAATGGCTGTTATTAGCTATGAAGATAGATCCACGCTGCTAACCAACCTGCAGAGCCTGCCCTGTGCATCCTTGGAGAGGATGAAACGTGCAGGATGTGAAGGAGGACGGCGAAGGCCACGGAGCAGAGGCAGTCGGCTGGGGCGGAGGGTTTGCTGGCTCCCGCAGCCAGTTCATCAACCATTGACTCGATAAAAGTCAGAACCTTCTATTAGTGCAGTTGCCTATTACAGGAAATCGTGAGTTTCATTCATTCATGAAATAACGCTTTCAGTAAATGGCAATCTGCTTACGAGACACACAGCAGTGTAAACAAAGCTCCTAAAAATGCAGCAGACACTAGGTAATTGAAAAATAATAAAATGTCTGAAGTCATGTTGCTGGAGAATATTTTCTAGCTTTCCAAGGCTAATAATGGTAAATTTTTACTCTCCTTGATGAATTCTCACCAAATTCAATGCAAACAGGATTATATAGGCAAAGTACATTAGTTTATATGATATTTCAGTAATACAGATCTCCTTCCATTGCTCTCATGGACATTAATTTCATAAGTATGGTTTACTGAAGAGCAAGCACAAGAGCAGACTTTTGGAAATGTTCAAAGGCCCTATTTCCTG